AACACACACACATGCACACACATATATAATCATAGAACACACACACACACATATATATAATCTTAGAACACATACACACATGTACACATACATAATCATAGAACACGAACACACACATTCACACATATATAATCATAGAACACACACACACGCACACACACACACATGAACCTGTAGAGTCGAAGCTGCACGAGAACAGGGATTCTGACGGCTTGGTTTATATGTGATTCCAGCACACAGCAGTCACAGAATAAACGTTTGCTGAGTCAATGAATGGACATGACCCCACTTCCTTGTCTAGAGGTTGCAAGTGGAGGGTTAATATAGTCTGGGGCAGGAGGACTACTGTATGAGGAACCAATTGCACTTACTTGGCGCAGCGTACCCAGTGTGTGTGTCGGTACAGGGAGTAGAGGAAGCGCTGACGGTACATACTCCATACTTTAATGGATTTGTCTTCAGATGCTGTAACCAAAAACTGGCCGTCAGCTGAAAAGTCCACACTTCGAACTGGGGCTGTGTGTGCTTTAAATTCTGAAGACTTCCCTTTCCTGAAAACACAGTTTAACAGTGATAAATTACTTAACACTCAGTCACCATGAAGAATTAGAAAGTTAAACAGCTTAACGGCATACCAAACCTTAAGAGAGCATGTGAAGGCCGTGTGGTGCAGTACCCTTCACTTATTCTGTGGTGTACAGGCTGGGTTCATGGAAATCACAGCTGACACTGAACTGCGGGAGCTTGCTTCTCCTGCCCCTAAAATGTATACCTGCACAGAAGCTGGGAAAAGTGGATTTTGAACCAGCAGCTACACTGCACTTTGTGTTACTTTAGAAACAGGAATCTGTAGTTTAAAGAAGTTTCAATTCAGAGGAGCAAGGTTGATTAAAACTGATAGCCCCAAGGCAAAGTTTTGAATCGGAGCCACTTGGAGCTAACAGTCTGTGCTGGAAGAAGGTATTTTCTGTGCTACATGTTGTTATACAGAATGTCTCCTGAGAATCTCCCTTTCCCCTCCTCCCTGAGCCCATACCGACCAGCACCAATTACTGAGGCTCAGTGTGTACCTATGGCCTTGCTAACCCCATGGCCGCAATCTTATACTCATGAACGAAACAAAGGTGCTTTGAAATTACATGTCCATGTTATTTTCTTGACTGGGGAATGAGAAAAGATAACAGAAGAATACAATGCAAGCATTGTACGTGAGCAAAGTCTTTTAAAAAGTAGATACGGGCTGGTAACTCTGCAGAAGCCTTTGCCCACATGTGAGCACACGCTCTTCTTCCCACCAGCCCTCCTGTTAAGGTGTGCTAAGTTAAAATCTCTGTAAACACCCTGCTCCTCTTCACTTCAAAGAAGAATCAGCAGCTTCGAGGAGGTGCTGAGTTCCAAGGGGGAATGCTGGGAAACGGTGCCAGTGTTAACGTTTTCGAGGCGAATGTTGGGAAACTGTGTCAGTGTTACGTTTCCGAGGAACAGCCCCTCTGCACTCTAACGAGTACCTGGTCACTTTTGCATTTAGAAAATCATTTCCTACACAGTACATGGGGAGTCTGCTGTGATGTTTGAGAAAGACAAGACAACAGAACTGAGCCAAACATCTGTCTTAGATCTCAAACCTCAGATGCACAGGTGACATCCGAACTCCTGTAGCTCACGCTGTGTTTGCTACCTTGGCACTGGAGCAACAGCAGCAGTGTGTACGAGAGGGGCCAAGAGAAGCTGTATGCAGCTTCTGCTCCATGCGTTACATCAACACACCCTGTACACAATCCCTGAATAGCCCTCTCCTTACCACACCAGTTCCGCTTGCCTTCAGGAACTTATATCCTCAGCACCCTTTACCTAGATTACTGCAAAAGCCTCTTAAACAGTCTCCGGTTCTAATCCTCTCCCCATCCACCCCCCCAGTCACCTACATACTGCGCTTGTCACTTGTTGAAAGGTAATGCCAAGCTCATAAAATCCCAGTGTAAACATGTGACTGGCTCGCTCACTGTAAAGTACAACGCCTTAAGGTCACTGCCAGGATATCCTGCCACTGAGGCGAACTTTGTACCCAGAGTGGTCACAGTGCTTCCAACCCAGCTGTGCCTCTGCATTCACGCTTAGGAAGACTGTTTCCTAGCTGCAGACCTCTGACCCAACCACACTACTCCTGACCTGCAACAAGGATTGGAACTACTGCAGTATATCTTGACTTTTAAACACTAAATGATTACTCTTCTACTAACCAGTGAGTGTTCTGAGGACAGGGATGACATGACTCTCTGTGAGACCACCAGTTAACACATGTCAGGTATACAGAAAGAGTTCAACAACAGACTATTGAATTTTATGGGGAAGAATCAATACTTTAAAGCTTCTTAGATTCAGTCTGGTTTGCCCATCCAGTGGCTTATAGGGGCAAATATCACTTTATCATTAATTTCTATCACTAGGTATATGATAATACATACGTAATGATTGATATTACTGATCCAGAACACTATGTTCAAGGACTACATTTCAGCTCATTTTCAAGAGGAACTCTTGTGAGAAGGCATCAGGTACTAGAGACAAGAAAGAAAAGGCTTGTCCCCTGCAGTGACCACAAAGCCACAGCCACAGTCAGTATCTTAAAAAATAATTCCTGAACTTCAGTCTATACCCACCTGCAGACTGCAATACTACATGCATCCTTTCTAGGGCCTCCCTAGGTGGGCTGGCCCAGCCTGGGCTCTGCTGCACAGGGAGCTCAGCAGATGCCAGGGCAGCAGAGTTCTTGTGCTGTTGGCTGGGCTGCTGCCTTGCTCCTCTCTTTGGAATCCAGTATGATTTTTGAGACTTACTCTGTCCAGCGCAAGCGGTACTGCGCAGTTGAGGGCCCAGTCCTTAACAGGTCTGACAGCTTTTGCTGTTACAGTCCTGGAGCGGACCTGTCACTCAGTGGGAAAGTCTAGGCTATCCCAAAGGATGAGCAGGCTCAAGGAAAATCAAGGTCCAGGACTTGTGACTGAGCACACACTTCTGATCAACTGCCAGCTCCTGAGAGGCTGTCTGGGGAACCTCAGCCAACACCAAATGGGGAGAAAAACACACCAGGTACCCGTAGATTAAAGAGAGGTGATAGTTTTTGGATTAAGCTACTCACTATGAGGGACTTTAAACAGCAATAGATAACTAATCACTGACATATAAATTCCCCATTGCTACAACTTACCATTGCCCTGGCCTGACTGTGACATTATTTAGAAAGAGAAACCAAGGTATAGAAATACAATCACTTTGTAGATATATACACCAAGTTAATGATTTGAGATTTTAGCGCACCTACCCTGCTAACCTTTGCTTCCTGAGATTTCCCAAATCAGTAGTAACACACAAAAGGTTTCAACTCTTTAAACAATGAACTAGTCCTAGATTTCCAAGGCTAAGGATTTTACAGCACATGTTTCTGCCTGAACCCTAAGCCCTCCCCTTCCTCCTCTTTCCCAACAGTCCATGCACATTCCTATGTTACTTCTCGTCAAGAGCTTTTACATCTGTCATTCTGTCACTCAGACTTTTCAGAGCTGAATTTCCCTTGGGAGGTGGCAGAATAAAGTTCCTAGCAGCAGGCGATCATTTGCCAGCTTTCTTCCTCTGTAGGTGCCGGCCCATTGAGTTACACACTGCAAATCAAATCCTGCCACAGTAGACTCAAGGGAAACGCTGACACTTCCAGCCTCTGATACAGGACAGAGGAAGCCGACAGTACATACAGGGTTCATTAGAAAAGCACTTGAGAAGAAGTTGGAGGTAGCTATTTGATACAAGGATGGCTGAACAGGGCAGCTATTGAAGCTGTTGGTGGGTGCGGTAAGGAAGTGGGGCTATGCATTTTTTATGGATGTTTGAAATTTTATATATTTAGAATTTAAAACTTAAAAGATATCCTAACTACAAAACTTTTAGAATAGACAGGCTATCAGCTCATGTCTGAAGATGATCTCACAAAAGATCTGTTATCAAATAATATGACTTCAGCAAATGCATTAATATATATATATATATATTTATTAATAGTATTTATTTTATATATATACATACATATATATGTACATATACATATATATATTTAAATGGCCTTTCAAGACAGGGTTTCTCTGTATAGCTCTGGATATCCTGGAACTCGCTCTGTGTACCAGGTTGTCCTTGAACTCAGGTCTGTGTCTGTGTCCTGAATGTTGAGATTACAGGTATAAGCCACCACACCCAACAATGATTTATGTATTTGTCGGACATGTTTTAAACAAGAAAATTCTAGAGCTCCAAAATGAATGATAACAATCAAAGGATGCTCTAGGCACAGGGGTGTCAACAGAGACCCCAGGGCCCTTAAAAACCCTGACTGGGCAGGCATTGTAAGGTTAATAATGACCTTCTGATATATGCCACTATGTTTCTTCCATATTTACATAGATACTTCTAGCCATCTCCCAAAGCTTCTGACATATTGTGCATATCTCCAGGTGACAAATGATTTTTCAAAAAGAGGACATAATTTTGAGTTGGATTTTGAGAAACTTGTAGGAAGCCGTTTGACGTTAAAGCCAGGGCAGTATATCTGTGACCCCACTGAGTACAGGTCACTAGGGAATTGAAGCATCTCCACAAGGCACAGTAAGAGCAGTCAGGCCTCAGCAGACTCCCACAGGTCCAACCCAGACCTATCTGTGTTTGTTCCTCTTACCTATCAAGAACCCAGAGTCGAACAGTTCTGTCTCTCGACGCAGAGGCTAATAAGTTTCCCTGTGGAGAGAACTGCAGGCTGGTCACCACATCCCTGTGGCCCACATATCTGTAAGCTCTAGCATGTGGCTTCAAACTCCATAGCATGAGAAAGGTGTCCCACGAAGCAGTAGCTGTCAGGAAAGAGAAGAACAGATTGGTGTTGAGATAAAAGTGCACACATGTCTGATCAATAACAAGAAGACAGACAAGTCAGGGGTTGTGGGGCTGGCCAGGTAATGTCAAAGATATTTTCTTATTTAAAAATATTTAAATTTTATTATGAATCTTCTAAGTTGGTAGTGCCCTGCTATCTAGCAGAGTACAAGCCGCAGGGGCACACTGGAGTAAAGTGCATTAGTCACCTTCCCACAGTGTTACAAAGGGACAGACGAGGTACTTAAAAAAACTATGTGGATATAGGCTCACACTGAAGTCATATCTTAAGTAGAACTAATACGCTCTTTGCCCAATCCCACCTGTTAATATTTTGTCTGTATGTCTTTGGCTCTTCTCTTTGTACATGATCACGTGTGTATGCAGAGACATTTTTTTCTTGAACCATCTGAAGACGTGTTGTGCAAATCACAGCATCCTTACTCCGAAAAGTTTCTGTGTGCTTTCCCTAAGGATATGGTTACACATAGCCACATATAGCCACAGTGCGGGCAAGCTTAGGAAACTATCACCCACCAAAGGCAACCTGCCTTTGTCTACTGACCCAGAAATGCTTTAAAGGTGGATGAGATGACCATAAAAAAAATCTGTTTTTGCTCTGTACTTTTATGACATTTAATGATTCATTAAAAGAACCATGTGTCAGATGTTAGCTTAAAAAAATCTTTAAGTGGGGCTGGAGAGATGGCTCAGTGGTTAAGAATACTGGCTGCTTGCTCTTCCAGAGGTTCTGAGTTCAATTCCCAGCAACCACATGGTGGCTCACAACCATCTGTAATGGGATCCAAAGCCCTCTTCAGTGGCAGTGTACTCACATATATAAAATAAATAAAATCTTAAAAAAAAGAGTTGTTGTAAAAAACTTTAAAAAAAAATCTTTAAGTGGAAGAAAAATGACTGTGATCAACAGCAGTGCCCACAACATGGCAGGCACCATGGGGGAGCAACCTGTGGGTCATTTCTCACTATCAGACCGCAAAAAATCCTTGAACACACACATTTCAATGCCCTACCCAGACCCTTGGGTGACCACACCCCTCAAAAGCGGCTCTCCCACCTCCCCCTATCTCTAGGCTTTCACAGCCATTTAAACCCCTGGATCTAGGGTAGGGATACTTTCCAGTAAGTCTGGGACTTACTGTGTATAACCTCTAGGGGGCCTTGGTGACGACTTCGTCCTCTAGCCTGGTTGGAAGTTTTGGTTATTGAATTATTCTTGGGACGCTGGTACAAATAATCCAGTAACCCCCCAATGGGTACTGAGATGTCTTTGAACATATATTTTAAGCGATCTTTCCACGTACTGCCAGTGGCCTAATAAATAGCAAAAGGTTTCCCAAGCACTTACCTATTCTTGCTCCCACTCCCCTGGTCTGTTCCCGCATCCTGTGTGCTTAATTTGTGTCATAGGCCAAAACCTGCCTAGACAAGCTCATTTTCTGTCACCATGATCTTATGCCACTGGTGTCAGCTTTCTTATTCTTGTCCTAGCCAAATGTTTCTTTGCTAATGCAAAATGTGCTTTTCTCTACCAACACCACCTGTCAAAGTTATTTAAGACTCTTTCCTATCTACCCGTTGATAGATTTTTTACTACTGCTATTAAATTCTATTCAGTTACAACCAATCCTTATGGCTCTCAATCTTGTCAGAAGTTTGCTAATTATTAAATTTATGACAGACGGAATTCCCAAAGCCTTTAACAGTTGACCCAAAATGGTTTCAGAAGATATGGACACACCTAGAAGATACTTCCTGATTGTGATATGATCACTGAAAAATGCAGTAGATAAAAACCAGATACCTGAGTCAAATGACTTGGCTAAACCAAGGTAAATCATTTCTCATGTCACATGTATCCATTCCACTGAGAAAAAGCCCTGCACTTGAAAGCCAGACTGACTCTGCCCAAGAGACCATGGAGATCACCGGAACTGTTAGCTAGCGGACTCTGTCATTTTTAAAAATACATATAACCATTAGATTGTTGTTTACTCTTTCTCAGACTTTGGACTACATTGACAGCTAAGCTTTCTCAGATATTATCTGTTACCTCATTACCCAAACTCAGTTGCCATCAATTAAATGCTTCATATTTCTTCTTCTTGCTATGCTATTGTCCTAATATTATCTGAGTTCCTATGAATTTGCCTAACTCTAATAAAACATTCCATTATATGTTCCAACAAAGGCTCATCTTAAAGACTATGTTGTTAACTCATGCTGTTATCTCTTTTGTAAACTTATAATCTACAGGAAACCCACTCAGATCTACCTCCCATGGACCCAATAGGCTCCATACAGATAAGTACATCTGCCTAAAGTTCCCACTGACTACCTATTCCAGAGGGTGGGATTCTTCTGGGCTTCAAACATACATCTTAGAAAAAGTTTTCTTTCTCCCAAATGCACTTAATCTTATTCCCTACATCCTGTCAAGTTCAGGCACATCCAGAACAGCTTCAGAGAAGCAACCTCCAGATGCTCCATCTCCTGTCATACACACAGACGCTTCTATTGGATCTGTTCCTTCTGACCTATCCTCAGATGGCTCCACAGACCCTGGACAGCAGGAAACAACCAACTCTCCTAAGACTAGACAGACATCCCCCACCATACCCATTCTTCTAGGTTCCCTAGAGACACATTGCCCCCAGTGCCAGCAGGAAGTAGCCAGATATCACAACGACCCTATTCCTGTTTCGACACCACCTGTTTCTATTTTTTCTTTTTTTTAAATTAAATCAAATGGGGGAATGTTAGCATTCTGTCTAAATTCCACCCTCACAGTTACCTGGCAATAGCCAAGTAGGCTTGGCCCACTATAAAAGGGGCTGCTTGCCCCCTTCTCTCTCTCTTGTACTCTTGTTCTCTCTCTCTTGATCTCCTGCTCTCTTGCCTCTTGCTTCCTCTCTTCCCCTCCACACCTCTTTCCACATGCTCATGGCCAGACTCTATTCTTCTCCTCTACTTCTTTACTTCTCAACTCTCTCTTCCTCTGCCTCTAATACCCTCTTAACTCCCCTCCCCATGCCCTGAATAAACTCTCTCTATATTCTATACTATACCATGATGTGGCTGGTCCCTCAGGGGGAAGGAATGCCTCGGCATGGGCTGGCTGAGGACATCCCCTTCCCCCATACCTCACCACACACCCATAGAACATATTCTCTTTCTCTTTTTATAAACATATCAGGAGGGGTTAGATTATGGGGGAAGACTTTGATGGGGTATTAGGACATCAGATCTTCCTGTCTTTCCCAGTCAAGAGGGGAGCAATTTCCTCTATCAAGCACTGCTGTGACACACCACATTAGTACAGGCCTCAAAGTGACAGAGGCAACTTGGCCACCAAGAGAAACCTCCACAACTGGAAGGCCAAGCACACTTGTCCTCCTTGAATTGCTAATCTCCAGTAGTTTGTAGAGTAATTCAGAGTTGACTAATGACTTCCTGGTGGTGAAGCTTCTGGCCTCTAGGGTTACTTTAACAGGCACGTCCCACAGAAAACAGAGTGGGAACAAAGAAAGAAATCAACTCCAGGATTACCAAGATGCAGTTTGGAGGGGCCGGTGATCTTAAAAGGTCTGAGGCTGTGGAAACTGGAGGGGTTGACACTATGGGGCTTGTTAGAGGATTTGATGAAGAGAAGCAGAAGGATCCTGGTGCTTTTAAGCTAGGAAAATCCAAAGGCTATTTAATGAGATGGGAAAGACCGTATAAAAGGGGGTAAGGGGGTCTAGAGCAGTGCTTCTCACCTTCCTAATGCTGAGACCCTTTAATACCTCGTGCTGTGGTGATCCCAATCATAAGACATCATAGCTGTAATTTTGCTACTGTTATGGATCATAATGTAATTTTTTTTTTGAGACAGAGGTTTGCCAAACAGGTTGTGACTCAAAGGTTGAGAACCATTGGTCTAGAGACAGAATGGGGTGGAAACCAAGAGTTTGTCCAGACACCGTAAACTGGAGAAGCCAATGAGATATGTACCTGCCTGGAGACCAGAAAGATGTTTCAATTTCAGTAAGACGGCTAAAAGACTAAGCTACAGAATCAGATTTAAGTGAGGGCTACCATTTATGACACGACAGCAACAAAGATGCTTCATTTACAAGTGTAGCTTGGTATACTTCATGCCTTCTCTTACATTTTAGAAAAACAAAACATAAAAACTACTAACTTTTTTTTTTTTTTAATTAGGGCTGGAGAAATGGTCCAGCCATCAAGAGCACTGGATGTTCCTCTAGAGGATCTGGGTTCAATTCCCAGCACCCACCTGACAGCTCACAACTGTCTGTAAACTCCAGCTCCAGATGATTCCATACTTCCACACAAGCACATAGGTAGACAAAACACCAGTGAAATAAAAAAAATTAATAAATCACTTTAAAAAAAGGATAGAAAAGAAAGCAAAGCAACGATAGTGCATACCTTTTATCTTAGCACTATGGTATGGAGGCAAAGGCAGGCAGATCTCTGTGAGTTCGAGGCCAGCCTGGTCTGCATAGCAAGTTCCAGGATAGCCAGGACTGTTTTACAAAGGTTGTCTTGAAAAAATAAACAAACAATGACGAAAAGTAAGAATATTCATACTGATATGTAAACCAGCATTGGATCTCTCTCCTAAATCCCCTCCCTTCTTTGTTTTATCCCCACCCCTCACCCCCAGGATCTCAGGTAGTCCAAGCTGGCCAAGAGCTTGCCATGAGCCAGTGGTGACCTTCATTTCCAGACCCTTCTGCTTCCCGACTGCTCTAAAGTATTGGGATTATGGATGTGTTTAACCTCACCAAGTCCTTAATCTTCTTTCTTAATTAAGATCTATTTTAGTAGACTCCAGCACCATTTTAAAAAATAGTTTGCAAGTATGAAGAGTACTGTTGGATCATGTGAGCCTAGAATTAGCTTTCACATATTTCTATGGAACCACACCCTGTATAAACAATTCCACATC